AAGAAAACCTACAAGCCCATATCGGTTTCGTTCCAGCTTGTTTCCACGACCAGGCTGAAATGAATACCGCTGCTCAATAAACTGCACACCCCCAGCTGAATCATCTCAAATGTGATGTCCGTCACGGGGTTGTCCAAAAACTGAAGCATGTCAGACCAATGATGACACGGCACTGCCATACTCAGTTTCATAGCACACCCACAACTGTTCCATTCCTCCTCTCCACCGTGCCATCTTGCTTACTCGTTTCATTGACCCCAACGACCACCATGATATTCATTCCAACCTACTGGACTACTCGTTCGAATTCAACCACCTCTGTGTCCCATCCATCCTCACCCCCACCTTCCCAACAACAGTGCAACCAGTGAGTCTGTTGTTCTCAGGTTGCACCATATTTTTTAGACTAAGCTTGTCGTGTTCCCCCAATTGCCTGTTGTGACTACGGCCATTTACCCAACCGCCCAAGGTCATTCATGGCCAGCAATGGTTTTCCAGTTTTAGTTCATGTCAGCCGACTGAGTCTTTGAATTAGTCGGACCTCGTGCCTATTGTTTCCTACAAGTTGCAACAGAAACATATTATTGTTATTATTTAATCGAGTATCTCCCACTGTTTATGAAATTGTCCCCTATTCACCCAATCCCCACTACACGCAAATCCCTCTACCATACCCCGGCCTAACTGTAAACCCATGATCATACCAGACGGTATGCCACCCAGAAGTTGGGAATATACATTTTTATTATTACAGTTCTAAGGAGCGTTTGGGTAACTGCAGCCGAGGATTGAAGCTTAGGACGAGGGGCGACGAGGAAGAAATAGAAAGAAAGCAGTATCGCGTGGTGTGTGTTAGGAGGCATAATATATTACGGCTTTGATAGAAAAAAGCTAGGAAGGGATGACAGCAAGCTAAATGGACCCAAGAAAGGTGAATACTTTTGCTGAGCTAGAAACCAATTACTAGTTGGGCCAGGGTAGGTGCCTAGTTTTAGGAAGGTGAAAAACTTTGTCGTCGGGTAGCCAGCAGGGAGGCAACTGTTGGACAAGTTGAAAACGGACAGTATTTTTTGCTCACCAAAGCGTCATGACATCGGATCCTTGTGCAGAAAGAGGGGTTACTGTGAGCAGTGACAGTGGATAAGTAAAAAGCCGACAAGCAACAGCTTCCCCGATAATTGATAAGAATCGTAGCTTAACTGAGGTCTATTACATCAACCTAAAAGGAAAGTAAGATCAAGGATCACCAGTCGCCGAGTCAATGCTGTCAACTCCAGAAAACAAATGGTGCATGGTGAAAAAACAGCTAATAAGTGCTAGTTGTGACTGCTTGTGCATATGATAACTCTAGATGACATGAGGGAAGAACACATGTGCTATGTTTGGATGATGAAGGGGACTAGGGGTGGTGTGACTCCACTAAGACGAAAGTGGCAACACCGTGCGACGTGACGTTAGCCGTGAGCCTCACAGGTACTCTCAGGCTACCCCATGCATGAATCTTTTTTACTATTCTTTTTTTGTCATTTTACGAACAGGAAGGTACTCTCAGGCTACCCCATGCATGAATCTTTTTTACTATTCTTTTTTTGTCATTTTTTAGAACGAACAGGAGGATAGCTGTCGTCCGCTTGCATTTCTTGGTGTTGTGGGACAAGTGACAACCGGAACAAGGCCAATCCAGCTGCAGACAAACAGTAACGCTGCTCTTTTCGGTTTTCCCGAACCACAAACGTGGTTTCGAAATTTCTGCCGTGAAGGCTACCCAGGAATACGCACCTCTCTTAAAAAGGTCAAACTGGGACCACATTCAGTAGAGGAATTATATAAGACCCATGGTCAGAAAAATTCACGAGGCTGCGCAACGTCCGTCCCAGAAAACCAGGACGCTGTCGGATGAACCACAAGCTGCCTAAAAGGATTTGGCGTTTAGAAAAGAGGTCTCAAATTCTTTTCAAAAACCTGACTACAGGAGACACGGAAGATGAGCTGACATTTCGAAAAAAAGCGGAACCGCCGTAAATCAGAAATCCGCAAACGGAACGTACGAAAACATGCTATCTGGACCTTAGATGAGCTGACATTTCGAAAAAAAGCGGAACCGCCGTAAATCAGAAATCCGCAAACGGAACGTACGAAAACATGCTACCATTCTGGACCTTGCCCTGAAGAACAGAAATGTATTGTTCAAATACGTGGGACAGCCGTAGAAACAATCCATCCGCGTTCTCTTGAGGGACAGGAACGGCGAATCCACGAGTGGACCAACAGTGGCATCTGAGGTTTACAGAGAACACTACGCGTGTCTATACTCAGACCCAGCGTCTTCGTCACATCAACTCTTGTCAAGACGTAACTGCGAACAGCCTCTAACCGACTTGGTCTTCACGGTGGGGGGCATTCGTAAACTTCAACCACTTTTGCGCGCCGGGGCCCAACGAGGTCCATCCAAGGTTTCTGAAGGAAACGTCCTCCACACTGGCAGTCAGTCGTTTGACGAAGGCCGCCTTCCTCCTGCTTGTCACGTCAATCTACAAAACTAGTGACCGACTATCGCCTGGCAGCTACAGGCTTATAAGCCTCACTAAGGTGCCATGCAAGATGATGGAACGTATTCTGGAGCGAGCTATCCTATATCACCTCACTCCCAACGACTTGATATCCCCATTTTAACGCGGATTTCTCCCAAACCGTTCTTAAGTGACAAACGTGCCCGTGCTTATGGACAGCTTAACCCAAGCTAAGGGCGAGAGACTCATAGAGGATGTCATAATTTTCGACTTCTTAAAAGCACTCGATAGGGTCTCAAACGTCTCGCTGCTCCACAAATTCGAGTCCTACGGTATTCAGGGGAAAATCCTCCACTGAATCAAGGCGTTCCTATCAGACAGATCATTCCGAGTGAGAATAGGCTCATCCTACTCTTCCTCAGCGCCGGTCTCCATTGGGCTTTCTCAAGGATCCGTTCTGGGACCCTTGCTGTTCCTGATCTACATCAACGACCTTCCAGATGTTCTTGCAAGTCCATGACTGCTTTTTGCGGATGACTTGGAATCTTTGAGTTTCAATGCCATTGCCCTCCAAGTGGATGTAGACGCTACAAAGCAGTGGTCGTTGGACAGGCACCTTCCTCTGAATGACGAAAAGTGCGTCCATATGTCATCTGGAGGAGACTCAGCGAACGCTTCTGTCATGTATGGACCGGAAAACCTTATGAGGATAGATGCCAAAGAGGCTTTGGTTATCTGGGTCTTCTAAAACTCGCCCTTCTCACTCTACCATGAGAAATCGGTCCAAATGGCATTCGCCATTTGACGAATGATTCCGCGCACCTTCTCCCGTATTACTCTCATGGACTTCCAAATACACTATGGGGCCTAGCTCAGACCCCCCTGGAATACGCCAACCAAGATGTCTAGTCAGGACGCACGAAAGAGTTCAGCATGCCGAGCGAAGCGATACGAAAATGGTTGCCGGCTTTAACTCCTTGAACTACAAAACGCGCCTCGCTGTGCTTTGCCTCTTTACTGTGAAGTATCGTAGTCTCCAGGGGGATCTAATTATTACTTGTGCTCTGTTTGAACAAAGCTTGGCCTTCAGGTTTTTCACCACTGACCCAGCAAACACGACGGGGACATGGCAAGAAGATTTTCAGGCTGAGAACGCACGCATTCATCGTAAAAAATGTTTTCTTGTGGAGTAACCTTCTTCCGGCGGCTGTCCACGCTCCTTCTAGAACCCACTTCAAACCACTATTGGACACTTATGCGCTGGCAAGCATAGTGCCCGCGCTGAGGACATAAAATAAGGTGCTACACCCTTTTTTCACTTGGGCCTTCCAGGTTAACGACAGCAGCTTAACGAAAAGAACTAAACCGATCCGGTAAACTTGGGTAAAAGCCTTGATTCTGTGTATCAATCCGTGAATCCCCGTTCATATGAACTTACTGAGCCGAGTATCACTTTCAGTTCAGTTGGAATCAACCTGAAGGTCAGGGCGGCTTGACGAAGATTTTCTTTGCCTACGTGACTGATCCGGTCGGCTGCACAAAATGGGGCTTCGCAAGTTAAGCATAGCCAATGTTGACCTCAAAGGTAAACGGGTACTTATGCGGTATGTTGTATTTGTCGGATTGGATTAACACCCACTTTAGAGTCGATTTTAATGTTCCAATGAAAGATGGCAAGGTGACGAACACCCAAAGGTAATTATTCATGATTTACATACTCAGCTTGATAGAATTGTCGCTGCACTCCCAACCATCCAATACGCCCTTGAGAAGGGAGCCAAAAGTGTCGTCCTAATGTCCCATCTTGGGCGTCCGGATGGCAACAAGGTCGACAAATATTCCCTCAAACCGGTGGCAGAAGAAGTGTCCAAGCTCCTTGGGAAACCAGTGAAATTCTTACCTGATTGTGTCGGCCCAGAAACCACAGAAGCATGTGCCAATCCTCCTGCAGGATCCGTGTTCCTATTAGAAAATCTACGTTTCCATGTTGAGGAGGAAGGGAAAGGTGTTTCCCCCACTGGAGAAAAGGTGGGTGGGCAAACCTATTCATATTCCCCACTCCCCTTCTCTAGAAGTTAAAGTAGATAGTAATCAAAATCAGGGCTTTCGTAATTCCAGTTGACAACTCCGATCGCTATGGGCTGATGCTATTACCAAAACCTCGGAAACAATTTATCGTTAGTTTGTCACATACCAATTGGACCTGCACGATAAGTACCCCGTTTTCGACCGTATAGTTATACATAGTCGCTGAATGGTGCTTTTGTTATCACTGATTTGTGTCGACAAAAGTTCCCTCACATGCACGTAGAGACCGTGTAAGTCGCCGGGGATTATATTTAAAAAGCGTTACACCTTACACAAAGACGGAGAGCGACTGGAACAAACACTTAAAAACGCTCTTGAAGTGCATATAAACCAAATTAAGGTTATATTTATTGTTAAAATCCATCGTAGCCTTTAGTGAACTCCTCATTAGTCACAAAAATGAAGAATCGAAAAGTTGTAATAGTGATATTCATCGCTATGTCTTAGCTCACTTTGTAATACGAGGTTTATCAGTATTTGTTAGTTTAAATTCGGTTTGCTCTGGGTCATGTGTACGGAAGCTTCATTGTCTGCGCTCCATATATGTAAAGCACGGACTGCGTACACAACAGTCTGAACGAACGAGCATTCGTGATCCAAGGTGTACCTTGCGTTGCCAGAACTAAATACGTGGCGTCAAGCGTATTCGGCTGTCAAGCACGCAGGTGGTGGCGTTATTAAAAAAGCAAACAACTTACCAAGCTACACTGCAGTGATTCTAATGAGCGGTCGGCAGAGGTGGTGTGGCACCTGGACGCTGAAACGGGTGTTCTTGCCTCAACAAAGCTTATTTCGAAGGCTGTTCATTTCTGTATCCTTTTAGCTTCCGTTTTGCATTCATCGAAAGAAGTATTTAAAGCACAATGCAAAGGGCGCTAAGATAACCGACGCTTTTCATCCTTGAAAAAAAAATTATGTAAATGTCGGAACTTGTTAGTATATAACGACGCCCCCTGCGCTAAGTTTTGGGTTGAAAATACGTAATGAGATCAGCGGTCCTCCCTGTAGGCAACTCTAGCGGCGCCACTCGTGCGTAAATTCCCATGTTATCCCGTGACTATTTCTCTACATTGATAATTCTGTTCATGAAATGGTGTCCTCGGTTAGTGGCGCTTTCGACGCTGACTCATCCATCGAGGCGACACAATGAAGTAATAGTCGTTTGGTTGTGGTGCTCCAACTACCTTGCAACCCTAGAGCTGAGATATTGCCAGGTTGCCCGAGCCTGGTCAGGAACTACCGAGATGGAGATGTCGGATTCGAATTGTGTACCTTTTCGTCAGTAAGTTCGCGCTTTCACCACTAAACTATCTCGAGCAGCCTGATAGGAATTGTCTGTTGAAGACTGTAGAAGAAGACGAGCGGAATCCGGGAATAAAAGTGGCTCGGATCATACTCTTATCACTGAACGCAAACCACGACCTACAAAAGAAATCGTGATCAGCTTTTAAGGCCCGGAGTAGCGTCTGCAACTCTTAGATCGTTCACCATTCAAACTTGGAGATACATCAGTCCTGAGATCAATGAGTCTCCATCGAATAGACCTGGTTCCACTTAATATACGTTCATACAACAAACCGTCTAATCAGCTCGGATTTCCATCGCGGTGCCAACAACAACAAATTTTCACCTGAGTTCACCGCGTCAGGTGGTGTAAGACAAGACTGTCCTCTCTTCACTCTTCAGCTTTGTCACCGAAATGCTGCTCGAAGCTTCTGTCTACCTCTGAAACCTCGGAAGTCGAATTGAACATCTGACCCTCATATTCACATAATTCCGGGTGAGACAATATGGTAAGCTCTTCAAATGCTTCCCTACAGAAAGTGATGTCCAGTCTGTCAGTTAGTGTTCAACTTCGCCGGAAGGTCCTCATAATCCCGGTATTCTAATTGTCGCTGGTGAGAACCTTGTCGATCTGGATTACGCAGACGACATCCTCATCTTTGAGGACTCAGCACAGTCTGTTTTGAGTTAACTGGCAACCATCACGCCGTTTTCGGCAATTGCCTTCAAAGTGCAGTCTCTGAACGTACCCCTTGCAATTCAAGAAGAATCACTGGAATTTTTCGGGAATTTATCATACCTCGGTAGTTTTATTGACTCTGACGGAACTGTGTCTAATGAAGTCAATGCACGAATCTCAAAGGTCATGATCAGGTTTGCACATTTGCATCACTTGTGGTGCTGGGTCTCAAGGCCGCGTGTTCCAGTCTACAACTAGGGCTGTATTGTTGTATTGTTGGGAAACATGGCCAGTGAGGACAGATGATGTCAGGCGCCTTCAGTCTTTTGACCAGCGATGCCTCGAGTGCGTACCTGATGTCGGGTGGCGTCAACAAATTAGTAGTGTGATGAGTAGAAGACGGGTATTTGATCATCCAGCATGTACTTCAACCGCGGAAAGCATCCAGCACCATCAACTGTGATGGCTCGTCCGTGTGCTGCGCATGCTGAAAACTACCGAGATGTGTGTTGTTCTTTATGTCTCCAGAATAGCGGAAATCGTGAGATGAAGAACTTATGACTTGTCAGAAGGATGTGGAAGAGATTAGCCCGCATTCCAAGATGGGATCCTGGTGATCCCTCCTGGTCTTGGCTGGAGACATTGCATGATATGGCTGCACGATGTCAGTGGCGTTCGTGTTGTCAGTTTCCGGCTTTTCTGACTAAGCGCTTGAATGTGTAGACACCTCACAGTGCTTGACATGGGCCAGCGGTAGGTCCCCTTCCTCACACACTTCACTCTAAGACTCCGAATATAGTTAGTTGAAATTTATGGTTGTACGGCAGTGAAGCGTCGGTATCAGCACTGCGGTTGCTGTCTCTGAAGAGCATCTTGACGATGATGGTGATGGTAAGACACCTGAAGATATTTTAAAAGTTCTGTCCGCAGAGGCTGTCTCGCAACCGTACAACGGTGCAGTCCTTACTGTAGTCTGGTACTTGCGACTCTTGAGGCCTAGTGACATGGCGTTTTGACGCCAGAATTGCCGCAAATTAGAAACCATAACTGGCTTTGTGATGTGTGCACTGACATTGCCACGCACTTCCGTTAGAGCCAACAATAACGCAAAATTCCCCACAACCTCCGATACTACTTTGAGCTACAGGGAACATATTTAGACACCACACGTTCTGAAGGGTAACCGTATACTTTAAAAGTGCGGTGCACATGCAGAAAGATGGTGTAATGGAGGTTATTTTATTCGGCAAGGCTTATGTTTGGCCTCCGTCGTCGGACGTTGGCTGATAATGAAGAGGAGATCATGAATGTAACCATTCTGGTGATTGTGGATATAGTGACTGGCTTGCAGAAGCGTCAGATCGAATTGGCCTACCCACCGGATTCCCAAGTAATCAGCGTATTTGCTCCTATTGAGAATGAGAAAATAGCGACCCCTGTCGTTTTCAAAGACGAATATAGCACATCCTTTTTTTTAACTTTGTGGACCCCGGTGAGACGCAAAAGGATGCCTGTCTATTTAATTCCCTCGATTTACCGCTACTAGAGATTAAAAAATCGTAAAAAAATCGCTCAGCCGTAACGCCCTTTCGGTGCCCAACTGCCACGCCACCCGAAGGTTGCACGAGGGCTGGGGTACTACCAGGTTGCCCAAGCCTAGACAGGGGAAGTCGAGTGGCAGAGGTCGGTTTCAAACAACGGACCTTCCAGTCAGTAAATTCGCGCTCTTATCACTTAGCTATCTCGCTCCTCTTGCCACTGAGCTATATACTAGAGATTAGAGTCGTTAACATTGTATAGCTACTCCACAACTAGTAATGTGTGCTCAATGCCTTTTTCGGAATCGGGCGTTTGATTGACGTCAAGGTGAATCTGCTCCCCAGTTTCGTTGCAGTGATAAATAATTAATTATGAGTGTTTCGTTTTTCACACCTTTTCGATGTCTAGCTGCCATGCTATCCGGAGGTAGCATGAGGGATGAGATACTTCCGGGTCGCCCAAGCCTAAACAGGAGCAGTCCGGATACTGGGGTTGGTTCTCGCCCCAACCACTGGGCTATCTCGAGTTCATTGCAATTCCGGGGCAATACAGTCATTGTGACCGCAGAAATCACCGTCACTGCTGACTTTGTTGTCTAGGTCAGCTATGGTACTTGCCTTTCCGCAGATAGATCATCCGTATTCTGCTGGAAATGGTCTGGACGCCAATCGATACTAAGGAACAACTACGTTGGATTTTATTGTTGGCCACTATCCCGATTTGTAGGAGGGCATCAACAAGGCCGTTTCATGGAGCAACGCCCGACATCAGTCGCCAAGTTCGGCGTTGGAATTTCGGCGGGCTTCTGAGGCAGCGCTACTGCCAGGATGGTCAGATTCCTAAAAGTTGTCCGGAACTGTAGGATAGTTACCGAGAGTTTGCAGCACCGCCAAAATCGTATTCCACGATCTCGTCTAGTCTAGGGTATGGTAAGAGTGAGAGTTTAGACAACTAATTCGCAACGATCGGTGATGCTCGAGTGCTCAAGCATAACCTGAAAACGCCAGTGAAACACCTGGATTTGAAGTCGCATTTGAAAATTAACTGCCGGGATGACTCCTGTCGTTTTCACACTGTAGGCACTGTGTTGTGTTCCTGATTGGGGACTCCCTTTTCCCCAGATTTTTTGGTCGGTACCGCAGTCATTAACAAGAGATGCGCAACACTTTGACTCATTCTTCTGGTTGAGGCCCAACGAACACCGCTAGCGCATCAAGGATATCCGCGTTCAACATTGATGCTTACAACCATGCGTATAACCATTATTTATTTGGGTCTTATCGTGAAGAGAAGAATAAAGGTGGACAGGGAAGTGTCTTAGTGCTACCTCACTACAATCATTCCGAATGCCTATACCTCCAGACACCCACTCAGACAATTTGGATAGAAACTGACAACACGAACGCCATTGACATCGATTAGCAGCCATATCTTGCAGCGTTTCCAACTAGGTGCAAACGGAATCACCTGCAGGGCGAGTGGCACCGACAGCAGCCAAATATTTGTTAGTCTCCTCTCCTTCCTCTGTGCCAGGTCAAGGGTTGGCCACCTCTCTGCTTCCGCCACTCTGACCTGGACGTCTTCAGGTGTTCAACAATCGTTGTCTCAGAACAGTAGCTCGTGTGGGGTGGTGTCGGTGGATCCGTAACGAAGCTCCTTCTGGAACACCAGCGTGAACTCCGACCATGCACTTGTACGCTGCTGCTTTTCATTGCGCTTTTCAGGTGTACGCAAATCGCGCACACCTCGCTTAGCCATTGAGAGGCTAGTTGATCCAGAAACCAAACGAAATTATCAGAAACAGCTCCTCGAATGCCTGCCGGACGGTACGGTGTCGGAT